AAAAATTTTGCCCAACATGGTATAAAGGGGATGAAGTACTGTAGAAAACTGGAACGAGATGAAAAGTATAAAAGTTTGGTCTTGCAGAGAAAGAATACCAGTTTTTTCTGCAATTTATGTTTGGCTACAGTTCATAAATGTCACAATCCAAATCATGAATGGGATATGTCTATCACTCTTGCGGATATGAATTCATGGGCAGAAGAAAAAAGTAATGGTCAGAGTAAACATTCTCTTATAAAGTATGACCCCATAAATGAATACACTATGGATCACCTTCATGCTAAATTGAGTAACGTGGGTAAACTAATTGACGAGCTCTTCAACGAGGCTCAAAAGATCGACCAACAACTGGAATTTATACAAAAGTTTGCAAAGTTATCTGAAAATCAAAAACTGGTCGACCAATTTGATACCAAGGTTGAAATTAATGAAGAAATCATTACAGCAAAGTTACTTCAAATTACTAAAAAGGATGATCTTAACAAACTTGATAAGAAACTTGAAGCAGCTTCACTAGCATTTGAAATTAAATACACTGAACACACTTGAAGTGAATTTGTTGGATTCTGCTGAATCACATTTTGAAATTTTATTTGGCACACACAAAGAATACAAATGCACACTATGTGCATCACATCTCCATGTTGTATATAAAATCAAGCCAGGTATCACTCGTCACATGCAAACTGTCCATGGTAAGTTCAGCACAAAAGATCTGAAACAAAACACAAGATGCATTACTAATCTCAATATTTAATATCAAAAATCTGTCATAATAATAAATTATTATTTACACTTGGTAAAACTATTCCAAAGTCAGCCTAAATTGTCAAATTTGTAATGACACTATTTTCTATGAAGTCTTTGACTGTAAAAAATGGGGCATGTGGAGGGGGCCTGGCACATTTTCTTTGAAAATCATTTGTTATTAAACTAATCTCAATATTTAATATAAAAAATCTGTCATAATAATAAATTATTATTTACACTTGGTAAAACTATTCTAAAGTCAGCCTAAATTGTCAAATTTGTAATGACACTATTTTCTAGGTATTAATTCTTCAACTTCAAACACATCAATGTGTGTCACGTTTACTGGAGAAATGGGGCAAGTGGAGGGGGCGTGGCACATTTTTTTT